ACACGATGTCCCAGGGTGTGACACTGTGCTCCAGGATTTCAGACTGTGCTCCAGGGTGTCACACGATGTCCCAGGGTGTGACACTGTGCTCCAGGGTGTCACACTGTTCTCCAGAGTCTCAGAATGCTCTCCACGGGCTTAGACTGTTGTGCTCATTGCTCATTGTTCCTGGCGAGTCCCAGCCTCCTCTCCTGTCCTGCCTGGGCACCAGGGCTCTCTTCCCATCCTGCTCTGGAGTAAATTTCCCTGGAAATGCCCCCGCCAATGGACAGGCACTATTTATGATCAAATAATTCTGTATATTCCACTCATACAGTTCCATGGGGAACTGTTCCAGCACAGACCCCACTGCAGTGCTGGGTCCAGCTCTGGGGATCCCAGCACAAGAAGGACCTGGAGCTGCAGGAGCACATCGAGAGGAGAACATGGAAATGCTCTGAGGGCTGGAGCCCCTCTGCTCTGAAGCCAGGCTGGGAGAGCTGGGGGGGCTCACCTGGAGAGGAGAAGGATCCAGGGAGAGCTCAGAGCCCCTGGCAGGGCATAAAGGAGAGCTGGAGAGGGACTGGGGACAAGGGATGGAGGGACAGGACACAGGGAATGGCTCCCACTGCCAGAGGACAGGGATGGATGGGATATTGGGCAGGAATTGTTTCCTGGCAGGGTGGGCAGGCCCTGGCACAGGGTGCCCAGAGCAGCTGTGGCTGCCCCTGGATCCCTGGCAGTGCCCAAGGCCAGGCTGGACAGGGCTTGGAGCAGCCTGGGACAGTGGGAGGTGTCCCTGCCCATGGCAGGGGTTTGCATTTGGATGATGTCTAAGGTCCCTTCCAGTCCAAACCTCTCAGGGATTCTGTGCCTCTGTGACAACAACACCTTATAAAGAGCCTCTCCGTGTTTCTGCTGGCATGGAAGGAGCACAGGGACAGAGCAGAGTCCTTGGCTGGCTCTGCTCCCTGCTCACACCCTGCACACCCACAGGACCCTCACAGTGAAGTAACTAAAATAACCCCGAGGCTGTGACATCCCCTCAGTGGTTTTGTGATGATCATTCTCTGGCATTCCACACCCTGCTCATCCCTTGCTCTGTGTCTCAGCAGCCAAACCCAGAGAGCCAAGTACCAGAAACATCTGGCAGAAAGGTCTGAAGAGAACTTTAAGGGACTGAGGTGCTTCTACCAGGCACTGTGGGCAGAGGAGCCACTCCGTGAATCCTGCAGGACACTGAACGTGCTCCAGGCACCTGGCAGGGCCGTGTCCCTGTGGCTGCAGAGCTGCCTTGCTTCCCTCTGGGGAAATTTTTGGGATGGCTGCATCCAGAGCTAACCCTGTTGGACACACACAACTGGGAATAGCATCACCCAAACTGGACTGGGCTGGAGACTGAGCTGTCCCTTAGGAAACACCAGGAATCTTCAGTGACAGCAAGTGAGAAGATCCTTTACATTGTGTCCTCTGGAACCCAGCATTTCCTACCAAACACAGCCTTTTCTTGGGAATTGAGACAGTTCTGCCAGTCTGGATCACCCCTGCAGCCCCTGCCCTGCCCGAGGTGAGGGATTTATCCCGGCAGGAGGGAGGTGGAGCTGTGGTCACACGGGGAAGGATTCAGCCTGGGGAACAGCAACACTGCCAGAGGACAGCAGGGAGCTGTGGATGGTGCATTCATGGAATATCCCTCCTTCCTCAGTTCATGTATCACCCACAGCCAGGCTGGGATTCAGAGAAACACTCCCTCATCATTTGAGGGCATCTCAGATGCCAGATCAATCCCTGACTTCTCTCAGAGACTCCAGCCGTTCCAGTGGCTGTCCATGCTGGATTTGCCCAGGCTCTGGCAGGAAGCATTGTGGATGCACACAGGCAATGGGTACAGGCTGGCTTCACAAGCACAGTCCCTGTGGCAGGGGCAGAGTCCAAGG